CTTCCCCTCTGTTTTGGAAGTTTTCTGTCATTAATTCTGTGAAAAGCTTTTTAAAGTCATTTGTATTTTCTCCTGCTACTTCATGGATTCCTATCAGTCTTATGTTATTCTTCTTTGCATCATCTAGGAGTTGTTGGATCGATTTCTCATGATCCCTTACTGTTTTTAAGAGACCTCTCTTTTGACGATCACTGGCTGCAATCTTATCTTCTGTATCTGAGAGTGTATCTTCGCATTCTTTTATTCTGTTGCGTACACTTTCTATGGAGTGTTTAATCTCCTGGATATCTGCTTGAATCTGTTTTATGGATTCCATTTCTTTCCTATGTTTGGGCATTTATTTTTTCCATTTCTTTCTTATGCTGGGCCTTCATGGCTTCTATCATGGTCCTGAGCTTATCTATTTTTTTGTCAGTTTCTGCTCTAGAGTCTCCAATCGTGACTTCCATTTTGCTCACTATCTTTATGGTTATCTGCAAAATTATTTCTGTTTTGAATTTTTCTAGAGCCTGATTGATCTGTTTTTACTTCCTGTTTGGTGGTTCACTATCGGCCTTTTCATCCTCATTTCCCTACTGTTTGCCATTGGTGAACTGGAAGTCTGTCCTTGTGTCTTGCTTAAGTGTTTTCTCATTTTTATTTTTGTTGTCGGACTGTCCTTGGTTTAATCTCTGGGTTATCACCCAAATCTTCCTGAAATAGTTGCGCCCTAGCTTCTGGGTCTCTAATGACCCACAGACATTCTCATCTTCATAACATCAGAGAAACAGCTCATCAAATCAACCACAATGCTTTATCCCAACTGATACAATCAGCAACACATTAAGATCAAGTACAACTTGTACACTGACCACCTGTGGTAGTCACTAGTCTATCACCCTTAAATCATTTGAATTAAATTGAAATCAAGAAGCAGTCCAGAACATGTCTGCAGTGAACAAAATTTCAATATAGCGTATTTACCATTTAATGACTCAGACAGAGCGAGGATGCAAGTCCCCTGGTCTCAGCTGATGGCTGAACCCCATGACGCTGACTGACCTCGGGCTGCAAGGCCCAGATTGATTTCCCCACCTTCTGAATGGTTGACCTCCACAACGTTCTATTACAGGTTTCCCACACCCTTTCTTTAAAGATTTTCAAAGTTGGGAACTCAGAAAAATACTCTTGATGACCACCTCTGCCTCTGCAGAGTGGGTCCAAAGACTGGCAGAGTCAGGAGGTCTGAGAGTGCAGGAGGGGAGACTTATGGCGGTTCAGGGGCTACCTTCGCAGCGCTTAAGCGATGGTGGCTGGGTTGGGAGCAGGCATGGCTCTCCTTCCTGCAGTGGATCAGGGCCCAGGCTACCTCCCAGTGCTTCAGCGATGGTGGCTGGGTTGGGAGCAGGTGTGGCTCTCCTTCCCATGGTGGATTGGGGCCCAGCCTACTTCCATCTTTCTTTATTGTCACTTTTGACAGCACCTAACTCTTTGTTTCCAGTCACATTTCCTTTTGAATGAAAATGTCTTGAATAATCAAAATGCTTGTAGCTCTGCTTTCTCCTGCTTTGGGGAGGGGTGGGGGATATCTGTTTGAGACTTGCGCAGAGAACTTCAAGCTAAGGTGGTAGCCGCAGAAAATGGTTTCACAAGTTCCCTCAACCAGGTGCCTGCAGGGCATTCACCTACATAAGGTCAGAAGGAGAGATGTGTGAACCAGACTCTAGCAGCTTTTATTACATGGGAGAACTCAGTCATGTACAGCACTTAGATGTTGCCATTGTACTCTCTTGAGAAATATATAAATTCTTTGATTGGAACTCTTAAAATTTGTTTTGAGCATAGGAAATAAAAGCAACACAGCGAAGAAACACCATGACCATGAATAGAAGCATTTAAGATTTTTTAAATTAGTGACTAAGTTGCCTCAATGATTAACCGTCACTTATTTTTAGATGTTCCGCTGGTATCACTGGGACAAACAGTGTTTATACCTGTCAAGGAGGTAGCTGTATAACTAGGAGATGCAGAATCGATCCTACCACAAAGTTGTATGAAAAAGATTGTCAGTTCTTCCCTGACAAAGTTCAAACAGACAAGGCTTCGATAATGTTCATGCAAAGCATTGATTCTGTGAGTATGTCAATCCTTGCTTCCAGAATTCATAATCAAAGCACATGTCTAATTTTAATTAATTGTTTATTTTGTGGTGCTGGTGATTGAATCCAGGCCCTTCCACATGGTCTGCATACACTGTACCCAACAGTGTTACACTTCTAGGTCCAAATTAACTTTTAAAATATGATTTTAAAAATACGTATCCAGATGACATGAGGATCAAATACATCAATATAGAATTTGTTAATCATTGACTGATACATAGTAAGCACTCTACTGGTGTCACCTCCTGGTACTGTTATGGTCAGCCTACTTTAATACTGACTCATGTTAATTATATTTAATAAAAGTTTACATGTAGAACATAATTTAAATTGTTCAGGTTTATAGTTAGGATTTTTAATATGTTGTATAGAAAAATTATTTTTTTCATTTAATCAACCTTCTAGGTTGTTGAATTCTGCAACGAGAAAAACCATAACCGAGAAGCTCCAAGTGTGCAAAACCTAAAGTGCAATTACAGAAGTACGTGGGAGGTGATCAGAGAGTCTGAGGACTTTAAATCCACCACACCAATGGAGACACCACCACCTCTGCCTGCCTTCTCTTTGTTGAGGATCAGTGAAAGAATTGTGTGCCTTGTTCTTGATAAGTCTGGAAGCATGGGTGTAAGTTCAAGGGCCCATTTTTCTGGGTGTAGCATTGGGGATAACTAAATGCTAGGAACACACTGTAGATAGATCTGTACCTGGATTGCTTCAAATTATGGATGAATTGTTCCAAATTATGATGGCATAAAATACCATTATTTCTGGTGATCATGTCTTCAATATACTGTAACAAAATATTACAGTAGAAGAAAGACATCAGTAGAGTTAAAAAGACCTAACCCAAGGCTGTCTTTTATTCCAGAAAGTGGTTTACTGTGGAGAGCTCTTAGTCAAGCTATAGTTAGATCAGTACGAGAGACTTAAGAATTAAATCGCTTTTAATCATGATTCTTTCTCTAAAAATGTTTGAGAACATGAGGATTAGTGGATGTTAAACCACATTCCAGAAAAAGGAACAGGAACAATCATCAAGTTCCCTAACATGGATTTTTCTTCTTTGTACTATCTGTACAAATGACCTCTTTATATTCAAAGAAACAAACAAAAATATCACAGTAAAAAATATATGTTTAGATGCAGCCATTCCTTCCATTAGCATGCAACAAATGGAAGATATTATGCTAGGCTCTGAGAATAGAGATCCATCTGCTTGAGAAGTTCATAGTGTAAGACTGGATGTTTTTTCTCCCTTTCTCCATTACCTGGTTAAATCATACATATTCTCCTAGATTTAGGTGAGGCCCTCACTTCCTCCAGGAGATGGGCTAAACATATTGACTGCTCTAGGCCCTTCTGCTAATTCCCAATACTTCTCTGTGCATCTCTATCACTGTATATAATTGTGAGGGCATACTTGCTTCTACTAACTAGATCAGAAGTTTCCCTAGGTATTGGAGCCTTTGTGCTATGCATCTGTGTAGCTCTATGGGCTAGATCAGAATTCATCAATAAGAGTAATCAATAAATAGTGATTGAATGAAAGAACTACAAACAAGTAATGCAGTGTGATCAAACACCCAGATGGATGCACGCCTGAGGCAGGACAGAGCATGCTGAAGACCTGGAATAAAAACTTAAGCAAATGAGGGAAGTGTTTATTAAAAAGGGCAGAGAATGATGGAGATTAATGAAATGAGCCACAATTATGCAGGATTTCAAAGAGGCCAGCAAAGCACTGGCAGCAACACACACATGATCCAGGAAGTGCCACCGAAGAGAGGAGAGGTCCCGATAGAGAGAAGATGAGTGGTCTCTCCCACACAGGATGCACAGGATGCCGTTAGATCCAGGTTTAAAGATAAACCAAAGTGGTGGAGAGCCTCAAACATGGACCTGTAGGAATTTTTTAGTGCAATTTGGTTCAAGAATTCAGAGGGAAATTTTTTTTCCTAGTTCTATTAAGAATGTCAGTGGTAGTTTTTGTTTCTTTGTTTGTTTTTTTGAGACAGGGTCTCACTATATAGTTGAAACTGACCTGGAACTCACTATGTAGCCCAGGCTGGTCTCAAACTCACAATGATCCTCCTGCCTCAGCCTCCCGAGTGCTGGGATTACAGGGGTGCACCACGCCCGGCTTGTCAGTGATATTTTGATAGGGATTCCTGAATCATTTTTGGTAGTATGACCATTTTAATAATATTAATTCTGCAAACCTATGAATGTAAAAAATCTTTCCATCTCTGTTTTCCTCAATTATCTGTCTTCTTTAAGCTTTTACTTTTAAGCTTTTACTTAGAGGTCTTCCACTTCCTTGGTTAGGTTGATTCCTAGGAAACTTTTAAAATTATTAATGGAATTATTTACCTGACCTTTTTCTCAGCTACTTCATCATTAGGGGATATGAAAGCTATTGATATCTTAGTGTTGATTTGGAATCCTGATGAATCTTGTTGAATCTGTTTACTAAATCTAAAAATCTTTTGGTAAAGTTTTTAGTCTTCCAAATAAAGGATAATATGTTGTGCAAAACAAAAGTATAATTTGATTTCTTCCTTTCCTGTTCATGTCCTTGCTCTGGCCAAATTTTCAAGCACTTTTTGAATACAAGTGGTAAGAGGGCACAGTCTTGACCTGATTTTAGAGGAAATGCTGTCAGTCTTTCACCATTCAGTGGGTGAGGTGAATCTGAACAGATTACCAAAGAGCCAATTTTGATTAACACATTGGTGAGGAAAAGTTAGGAATAAGTAGAAAAAGGGGAAGGTAGGGACTGGGCTTCTCAGAAATTAGCCTCAGCTCAGGTAGGTTTCACCTTTGGGGTAAATTAGTCCTCAGCAAATGGGACAAATTTCAACTCTGACTGGAGTCTAGATAGTCTGGTTGGATTTGTGAACTCTGGGATGTGATTTCATTTTAAATTGGCAGGCACAGAGGCTACCAATAGAAATGACAAGGGATCTGATGTATAAGTCATCACCTCTCATTTCAATATGATCTCCATCCTAGCTTCTGCCTCTAACCTGGATGATTAGCAGCCAGGAATCCGCTCATTGAAAAATATGAGCGCTTTACAATATATGCATCCCATAATGCACCTAACCACATTTTCTACTTTATGAATTGACAAAGTGACTATTGCTTTCTTCAGAAATGCTAATTAACACTCGTGAAAGGTTCTTACCAATTAATTTAATTATGTGATGCTATTATCTTCCAATAAAAAACACTTTTTTTGTTCTTTTTTTACTCAGTTGGAAAATCGCCTTAATCGAATGAATCAAGCAGCAAAACACTTCCTGCTTCAGACTGTGGAGAATGGATCCTGGGTAGGAATGGTTCAATTTGATAGTGTGGCAAACATTAAGAGTGAGTTAATACAAATAAGGAGCAACAGCGAAAGAGACACCCTCATGGACAGATTACCTACAACAGCCCTTGGAGGGACTTCTATCTGCAGTGGGCTTAGATCTGCATTTCAGGTAAAAATCGTAACGTAGATACATTTCGTTCTTTTATTGCTGCTGCTGCTGCTGCTGCTGCTGTTGTTGTTCTCAGGACACTTTAATGTGAAGAGCTGCTGCACATATTTGCTGCCTATTTCTTTTTGTTTGTTTGTTCTGCTTTGCTTTTGATAGAGGTTCAATCTATCTGTATAGTTCGGGATGGCCTCAAACTCATGGTGATTCTCCTGCCTCAGCCTCCCGAATGCCTTACTGTCTCATGATGATATTATTAAACTGAAGAGGCACAGGATAAAGCACATATAAAAAATTCACTTGTGCTTTTAGTGTTTTGCTGAATCCTTGAATAAACTGTGGGGAAATAAATAACTACAAGAATGCCTCTAGATTATAAACACAGTGAGGTGAGAGATTTTTCTTAGGGAAATGATAGGGTTAAGCCTTATATCCTTTCAGTTTGTAGTACTTCATAGGGCAACTACTTCATATCTACTAAATCTAACATAACGGGGACTGCTAACCCTAACGTGACCCATATGAGATAGCCCATGAACTTTGACAGCAGAGTACTGGCCCCGCTACTTAAGTCCCTTCGTAATTTTAGGCAAACTTCAGTCTCTGAATCTTCTATACCTTATTTATGAAATACAGGAAACAGGAATGTCTATCTGAAAGGATTCTTGTGAATATTGAGTAAAATCATACAGCTATATATCTACAACAATATTTATCATACTATAAAATGTTCCAGTCCTCTTTAAAGCATAATTAATGCTAATGGGGTCATGTTCCTGCTTAGAAATTCTCTCTTCCCTCATAGTCTATAAAATGAGGTCTGACTTCCTGTTTGTGTTTATTCAAATCTCCTAGACTCGAAAATTGCCCTTACGTACTTCCAACCTTTTTCTCAGTTCTCCCCTCCTGCTGCTCTGTACTCTGAAAAGCTCACTGCACACAATACCCTCCATGCCTTGTGCTAGCTTCCCCATACTTTTGCACATACAAAAGTGCTTTCTTCTTTCCACATTTATGTGTTAAATTCCACCAATTCTTCAAAGTTTTCTCTACATGTGTGCAGCAGTCTCTGCTTCCCAACCCTACTGAGTCTTTCTCTGTTATGAATTATGAACTATTTTGGTGTAGTTTTGTAACATAAAAGCCTGACTTCAGATCACAAATGTCACTAATTATTCTTGACTTCTCCAGTCCTGCATTACCTCATCGTAAAATGGGACGGTCAGAGTTAGCACAAAGTTTTTTAAAGGTGTTTTAAGATTTTCAATATGCATGTACCCTTTGCATGTGTGGTGCATGTTTAATAGTAGGAGTACTCAGCTACGCAGACGACTAAAAATGGTAATTGCAGATTTTGGAGATAATTCGGTGACCAATCCTAACAGGGTGATATGACGAGTAACGGAGAAAGGAAGGGAATTGCTTTATGTAGAGAGGCCATTGAGGTCACTGAGAATCCTCTAAAGGATAAATCAAAGCCAAAGTTTGAAGGATAAGACTGAGCTGGTGAATGTAGAGGGGGGAACATGAAGTACCTTGGGAAAGAAATGGAAAAGAACCAGATTATTCTAAGAAATGGTCGAAGCTAGTGGTACTGAAGATTGGCATTGAAGAATCCTATGAAATTTGGCTGAAGAAATGAACAACAGCTAAATCTTTCAAACCTTCAAAACACATAAGGGCTTTCTATTTTAGTTAAAGCATAACAGAAAGCTGTTGAGGGTTTAAAGCATCACAGTCTGATAATCAGTGTGTGTTTTAGGAATGTGACTCTATTTGCCCCACAGAAAACAAATTGTAGTAGAGTCATAATAAAAAGAAAGTTTGGAAGCTTGAACTTGGATTGAAAATATAGTTAACACTTTGCAGATGTTCAATAAATAATAGAACTATCATATATGGTTACTTATCTTGAATTATTCACATCTTCACTATATATATTAGCTGTGACTTTGTTGCTGATCTTTACATCTCCTCGGTCTCTGACAAAGTCAGTGACTATTAATAAACTGAATTGAAATCTTTCCATGCACGCAGGAACCATGCAGTTCCTACTGAATCCCTAGCACAGTGGCTGACACGTTGTAAGTACTAGAAAAAATGAGATGCGAAGGAAGAGAACTCAATCTCGCACCCGGATCTTCACTTTACTCTCGAATGTGTGGGAGGAATGTGGTGGGCAAACTATAAGTGCCATAAATATATAAAAGCCTTTCTCTATTTTTAAGTTTAGTTTCAGCGCATGTTAGAACATATTTTTTATACCTCACAATATATATAATAGTCACTTTGCCTCAAAGTTTGCAAAATTTCTAATGAAGGTAGTGAATTCCCTAATACCAGTTTTCTTAGGGATCTGTACCCTTCAAATCCTCCTCCACAAAGCTATCTGTACCTCCACTCTATGTCCAAGAAAGCCATTGTCATTTTATTCCTTTTGGCCGAGATTCGGTTTTCCAAAATGGTGCTCAAGGAAGCCACTATCGATGAAAGCAGTCAGAGAAGATGAAGCGTCACTGCTATTTTATAAAGTCTTTTTTCTAATCTCTCATTGATCTATTAGGTCTAGCTTGAGAATTGTGTCTGAATTCTGTTTGCAGGTGATTAGAAACACAACCTTCCCATTAGATGGGTCTGAAATAGTGCTGCTGACTGATGGGGAAGATAGTACAGCAAGCTCTTGTGTCGACGAAGTGAAAGAAAGTGGGGTCATCATTCATTTCATCGCTCTGGGACCACAGGCTGATGAGGCTGTAAAGGAGATGCAGAACACAACAGGTAAAACTTGACCTACATATTCCAAGCCTGTTAGAGCAACGTGTAAACGCCAAGGTGGACAACTCAACGCTGTTTGAACTCCTCCTCTGTGGGTTGGAGTTGGTGACCACCAAGCCTACTCTCTGTGCTAGTGATCCTCAGAGACCACTGAATGGAGAGACAAATAAAACTAATCAAAGCAAATAAGATTTCTTCATAGTAGAAGGAACATAGAATTCTAATTTTTTCTTTCTGATCTATTCCGTCTGGAAAATGCAAAAGCCACCATTGTTAGAACCATGTGTTAAATAAAAGTGAGTGATCGTTTAAAGACTGTGAAGTACACCCATGAAATTTTAACACTTTTCACAGTCTGATTATTTGATCTACTGTATTTCATCTAGTTAAGACTGTAATACTGAGATTAGGCAAATTATCTCATGCTTCCCATTAAGATATTTTAAATTGACTTCAACAATTTAACTTAGATACCTTTATAGAGATGTAATATAGGTATCAATAAATTCACTTATTTAAAATAAGCAAATCAACATTTTTAAAGTGTTGGACTTTTTTTCATTATAAATATTACCTTGCCATTTCAGTGAACAGTTCTATTTTGGGGTATTTTAACTGAAATCAAATAAAAACATTTTTCTCTAAAAAAAAGATATTTTAAATTGGCATTTCAGAGTTAATCTTACAGCTATCTGACAATGGTCTGTTTTAATGATACATACTAAAGCTATAACTTGTTTAAACTTTTGCCTCATTAAATAATGAAATGTGATAAGTACTTATTTTCCAGAAATCAACCAGTTCATGCATTTATCTTTTAGGAGGAAAATATTTTTATTCGTCAGATAACGCTGAGAACAATGGTCTCATCGATGCTTTTGCAGCCCTTACATCAGAAAACGCAGATCGCAGCCAGAAGTCCATTCAGGTGAGAATTTTAATTCCCAGGGTTTTTGTGTTTAAATGTACCATAACCAAAAATAAAAAGAGAGGGAGAGAGAGAGAATTTGGTAGTTTTAAATTTTGAGTTCTAAGTTTTTCTCAAAGTTAAATTTTAATTAAAATTAAAACCTGAAATGGAAATTTTTATTTAGATATACCCAAACTAAGTGATGAAAAAAGAGTAAAATATGTCATAAAATAGCAACAAATTTTTAGTATTCCCATAGTGTTTAATTAAGAGATAATGGTAACACCTAACAATATTAATTTTCTATCAAAACCAGACTTTGTCAGAGCCAGGGATATAGCTCAGTGGTGCTGTGCCTGCTTGGCAAGGACAAGTCCTGAATTCAATCCCTGGTACCAAAAATAAAACAAAAAAACTATACTTTGACTAAAATAAAGAATCCACTTTTCTATGAATTTTTTTTTAAATGTCACATTTCTGAGTTTTCCTCACCCTTCTCTGCTGTGGCATAGACTTAGGCAAATGAACTCATTCACCGAGTTGGGAATTGAAGGGATATATCTGTGTCTTGAAAATAAACAGAACAAAGGCAGGGCAAATAATTATATATCTGCATGCCTAGGGTCTCTCAACTCCTCCACAACTTTTCCACTGGCCTCTTATTTTATTCACCTCTTTCTGAACTCAACTGTTTTTCCTCAGCTGTGTCTCAATGTCACTGTTATTTTCCAGTAGTTACATTCAAAAAGTTTGAGTAACTTTTAGTTCTTAATTCACGTCTTATATACAAGGTCAACAAAGCCTGTTTCTATCAAAATGTTTTACAAAATATCTCTTTTCCAGTACCCTCATGTCTCTGTTATGTCTCTTAATGCGAAAACTTCTGCGTTCCACTTTATCAAATCATTAGCTATCTTAAAATTTTCTATTTTACTAAACAAACCTGCTTCCTCTACTTCTCAACAATAAGGAAAGTAAAAGTTACATTATTGACCTAGTGTATGTGCATATTACCAGCAGCTATTAGAGCTCTGGTCTGTAGATTTTCTCTGCAAAAATATGTTAAAAATTAATCTGAGATCTAGCTTGACAGTAGTGGAGAATAAATAAAGAAACAACAAGGACATTTCTGAGGGGTTTTCAACCTTTTGGGAAGAAAATAATAATATTACTGTCTGAAACATATAAGTAAGGAGAAAGGATTATTTTTAAAGAAGTGATTTTGAAGACATTATTTTGTACTCTGTTTTTCCTTTAATTATTTTGAATGGATGGTGGTAACTGCAAGTGTAATATTTCAAAAATATTTAAAAATATAAAAGCAGAATATTGGAATCATCTAGAAAGGAGACTACTATGTAACTAAAGGTTGTTTTTAAAGTAGAATTAATTCCCTTCTATCAACATGATACTGAAGGTGTTTTTGGTTCAGGCCTGGGTTAGATAGAAATAAGACTTCTTATTGTTCCTGGACAGACACCCTCTAGGAAACACCTAAGTGAGTGAAAAAAGTGGAATCGCCCAAGACTTTATGTTAAGTTAAATACGGTACACACAGAAAAACAATGACCTCACGTGGAATCTAAAAACTCAGAGAAGCAAGGAGTAAACTGTTAGCAGATATTGGGGAACAAAGATATAAGAGATATTAGGCAAAGGATACAACATTTCCATTAGGTGTATTCTTAAAAAATCATTAAGCGAGTGTTCTTACCACCAGCCACTGTATTGGAGGTAATGCTTTTGTTAGTCTGGTTGGCCATTCCATAATTTATACGCATTTCAAAACATGTTAGCTGGGCCTGGTGGTACACACCTATAATCACAGCCTGATGAGAGGTTGGGACAAAAATAGCATAAGTTGGAGCTCAGCCTTGGCAATTTACTGGCATAGCAAGATCCTGTCTCCAAAGGGCGGGGGTGGGGTCATGTTGTATATGACAGGTATGTAAAATTTTATCACTTTAAAAAATAATCTCAACATTCCAGGCTTTCCTAAACTCAGCACTATTACAAAAACATGAATTGCTTCTTTAAAGTTCCTTGCAGAAAAGATTTTTTATTTTCTCTTTTCTTCTCATTGATTTTATTGGTACATTTTTAGGTATACAATAGTTACATTCATCATTGGGATCTTGTACCTTTACATGACAGGTCTTGGTTCTCATTTTTTTCCCCTTATCCTTGCCCTCCCTTCACCCCCTCCTCCCTTCCCTATTTACAAATACTTTATTTCAATTCTTTCATTTTCTCATGTTGTTTTTCTTTTCCCTTATTACCTTTCCCCTACCATTCCCACTTCCCGTACACCTTTAGCCCTTTTCTTCCTATTTCACATTGTCAATTATATCATTAGGATCTTATGTACCATTATAGTTTTTCACACCAGAGTATTTTCTCTTTTCTTAGGATTTTATCCTTCACACATCAGTTTTTCCTTTTCTTGAATATACTTTCTGAACAGTGTTTCAACCTTCCACCTGGTTAAAAATTTAGTTCAAGATGTCAAGTCAAGAGAATACTCAGGAGAGTTTTCATTGATTCTTTTCTTTTTATTTTATGTTTGTTTGTTTGTTTTATTTTGTACCGGGGATCGAACTGCAGTGCCACTGGGCTAAATCCCCAGCCCTTGAAAGTTTACCATCAGTTCTTTACTAGTCCTTATTTTATCTCTGAAGCCTTCACTCTGCCTCTGCTCAAATATTCTAGTCCCCCTTAACTCTTTCCTTGGAATCATCTTGAAAGTGTTTAAACTGAAAGAAACACACACATGTGCTCACATACACACATGTTCACACACACACATGTTCACACACACACACACACACACACACACACATACATCCTACAGTTTGGCTTTTCCTGTAACTGTGACTATAGCTACTAAAGACTTAAAGGGTACCTGGGATTCTACCCAGAAAATTGGGGATACAATAGTAGGATCATATCCCCAGCTGGAAAGTTTCTGTGGTAAGCCTCTTGCTATATGCCTACCTTTCTTCAGACACGTTATTGGTACACTCTGCCTGGCAAAAAATGCATGCCAATTAGCTAAATTGACAAGTCTAAGGTAGTATGCCATACATATTTGTTTTCAGACCTGAAATTAAGAACAACCTTTAAAAGAAAAATGAATTAAATTATTATTTTATGTAGTCATTAATTTTTTAAATATATTTAAACAGCTTGAAAGTAAGGGATTAAAACTGATCAATGATGCCTGGATGAATGGCACTGTGGTAATTGATAGCACCGTGGGAAAGGACACATTCTTTCTCCTCACCTGGACTGAACAGCCTCCCCAAATTTCTCTCTGGGCTCCCAATGGAACACTGATAGAAGGTTTTACTCAGGACCCTGATTCCAAAATGGCCTATCTCACTATTCCAGAAAATGCACAGGTAAGCAATATGTTCTTTCCTTGACTGTGACCCAGAACGGAAAGCTGTAATGATAGGAAACAAGAAAAAAGAACTATGTATCAGGAGAAAGGAAGAGAAGATAGTCTAAGAAGAATTCTAAGAAGGAAGTATAGGAGGAATCTGAGCAAGGTGACAGGCACGTTGTTACTGAGGTCAACAAACAAGGCCACACCAAGGCACGCTTACTTTTCGCAGCTGAGATGTACACACCATTTCTGACTCTAGTCAGGTGCCCTGGCCAAACTTCCTCACTCCCATCTTTTTTATACCTCAAAACCATCAACCACCTGTTTGTTCTAGTCCACACTTCCACGGTTTATTTTAGAATTGCATAATGAAAATGGAAAAATAGCTTGACAATGGATACTTACTATTTTTCCACTGAACCTTGTAGGTGGGCACTTGGGCGTACAATCTTCAAGCCAAAACAAACTCAGAAATACTCACTATTACAGTAACTTCTCGGGCAGCAAATCCTTCTGTGCCTCCAATCACAGTAAATGCTAAAATGAATAAAGACACAAACAGCTTCCCCAGCCCCATGATTGTTTATGCAGAAGTTCAGCAAGGCTATGCACCTATTCTTGGAGCCAGTGTGACTGCTGTCATTGAATCAGAAAATGGAAACACCGAAGTTCTGGAACTTTTGGACAATGGTGCAGGTAATTCACAGACTTTTATGAATAAACCCATGCTTTTATTATTCAGGGTAAGTTATGGGTGCTAGAAGTAGTGTGGTCCAGGGAGACAGGCACCGAATGAATGGAGGTAGATTATGGAGGAATAGATGGACCAGGGTAAACTTAACAAAATGCTTAGCAAGTGCTAGGCATTCAATAAATGTTATTTATTGTTAAAGTTGTGGTCATCCAGGCAACCAATGTCTGTCATCAATAGGTCCCACTAAGGAAAGTAAAGAGAGAATCAGGGTTTCTAGGTTAGTTTCTTGGGGGGGGGTGAGCATTATCAAGAGAGTCTGGGCAGAGAAGGTGAGGCACAAGCAGCAAAAGAAGGCTAAGTACTAAAACCCAGGCCACTGTCAGAGAAAGAGAGCAGCAGGAGTAATTCCAAAAAGTTGGAACAAAATATAGATGCCATCCTGAGAGTTGAGGTCCAGGAGCAGGCAAAACGGCCGCAAGAAAGGAAGCCACAACAATGGGGCATCAGATATGTCTGACTGGCAGGAAAGGTAGCCAGAGACTGGTCAATCTCTGTCATCCTATTCTGTCCATACAGAGTGGTGCTTAAAGACCTTTTTCCAGATGCTGAATTTTTCTGGGAACTTGACTTTCTGTTAAAGGTCACTGAAAAGGAAACAATTTAAAACGTATCTGAATTTCTGGGTGTGGTGGCGCACACCTGTAATCCCAACACTCGGGAGTTTGAGGCAGGAGGATCGCTGTGAGTTAGCGACCAGCCTGGGCTACATAGTGAGTTCCAGGTCATTCTCAACTATATAGTGAGACCCTATCTTAAAAAACAAAAATAAATAAATAAATAAAACATATCTAAATTATTACAGAATTCTATATATGTATATATATACACATATCTTTTGCAATGTAAATTATTCATTTTACAATCCTGTCTTCAACTATTGTTGATAAATTATTCTTTGATGCACCTCAATGCCTTCTCCCATAATTATCCCTTGCCTCTTATTCCTCATCTACACAACATTAAAACTTACCTACATGTACTTTAATTTCTTGGCACTTTGCCATTGAATGTCTAGCTAATTGGAAAATTATCTATTTGGAATAACTTTACCTAAGAAGATATTGGTAATTAATTATAACTTGGGGCAGCAGGCATACTTACAATTTAGTATGCAAAGGAAAACTCTGAGGGTTTTGATAAAATAAGTAAAACTGAGACCCTTCTCTGGATATTCTCATCTATTAACATGTTTAAAACTTGCTAGATTTTGAGAGACATGGATACTTCCAGTCTAAATGCTGAACCTCGCTTTAATATCATTTGATGTAAAATGTTAAATGTGCTAGTGATAGTGTTATTTTGCAACTTTCTGGTGGCTACAAAGAGCACAGTATTTCTAAGTTCCTCTAGTTGTTTGTTCTAAAAGTAGATGTGATTTTATTCTTTTGAAGTAGAGAATTAATGAATCAGGACAGCAAGAGCTGAAACAATAAGAAAAGAAGTTAGTGAAGATAAGACAAAAAGTTTTCACTTTCTAAGTTCTAGTAAAACTTAAATCCTCCAAAGGATAGTTTTTTCTTAATGAGGGTCCATTAGATTTCAATAGAAGGGTAGAACAAGTAATGTGATTAGATAAGAAAACCAATTGCCAGAGAAATGATAAAAATGTACTATTAACTGTATACAAATTGATATGGGAAAAATGATGTGCTATATATGTATTTATTATATATACACAACATTAATGTGTGTATATGTATTTAGAAATATAGGTAATATATAGAAATATAGATAAACAGGTATCGAAATAACTCAAGGGCCTGAATTCATCAATATATTCTTTAAACAGAACATAATGGAAATATTCTCCAATGGGTCACTCCTAAAATACTAAGCCAGATTTATACTATTGTTTATCAAGACCAATGCTTATCTTAGAAAATGTATTAAACTCTTCTTGAATTTACAATAATTTCTTCATTTCTATAACAAGGTGCCGATGCTTTCAAAGATGATGGGGTCTACTCCAGATATTTTATAGCTTTTTCAGAAAATGGCAAATATAGCTTAAAAGTAAGAGCCAATGGAGGAAGAAATGCTGCTGAAAGAACCTTACCACTGAATAGAGCCGCATATATACCAGGCTGGGTTGACAATGGTGAGTTCCTCATGGTATCTGAAATCCAGTGACAGCTTAAATGATAGCTTAAATATTTGTGATTTGATCTGATCGAGGTAAGGAGTCAATCATTTTACAACTCAGAATTTAGCTTTTCCTGTTTCTGGAATGAAGATCTCTGTTAATTGCCTCCCGAGTCACCTTTAGAAAAATGTTTGGTGCCTAGTAATACTCCAAGGTGTGAGCTAGCAATGTTATTTCGGAACACCTTTGATGATATCAAAATAATAATGCAGTCAATTTTCTGCAAATTTATAACATAAATCTTGTTCAGTACATTCTTCATTTTGAAGCAATTCATTAAGTGGATTTAAACTCCAACAAACTGGTTAAGATACTCAAGAAAGAATTTTCCCACCAATTGGCTACTTAAGAATGTGTCACAAGACTTAGTTAAAAAGTAACTGTCTGAAAAAAAAAAGACAAAAGATAAATGACACGTTGAAGGTAATTCATTAAGTCCTAAAAGTACAAGTGCATTTTACCCCATTTTAAAAGAGAGGATTTTTAATGCAGGAGAAATTCAAGGGAACCCACCAAGACCAGAAGCTGATGAGAACACTCAGGCATCTGTGGAGAGTTTCAGCAGAACAGCATCAGGTGGTGCATTTGTGCTATCTGGATTTCAAGCTTCTGCTTCAGATGACCTATTCCCACCAAGTCAAATCACAGATCTTGATGCCACATATGAAGATGAGAACATCACTCTAACGTGGACAGCACCAGGAGCGGACCTTGATGTCGGAAAAGGTAAGGACAAAGTGTCATGTGTTTCTTTCATGTAGTGAATGGCATTCATTGCAAAAGAAAGAGTATAAGGGTGGGGTTTTAATAGTTTAATAGTTTTAAATTAACAACTCAGCAAAGTATTAACAATACAATCTGATTTTTTTTTAAATCAGTGAAACATACCACATTTTTAGGCTTGTCCTACCTTTCATATAAAGATAGTAGCATTGGGCAGAGATTAAAAGTCAGAGATCAGGGCTGGGGATGTAGGATAGTGGTAGAACACTTGCCTAGCATGTGTGAGGTCCTAGGTTCAATCACCAGTGCCACAAAAATAGTTTTTTGATACCCGGGATCAAACTCAGGCCCTTGCACTTGTGAGGCAGGCGCCAGAACCACTGAGCTAAAGACCACACAAAAATAAATATTGTAAAGAGATTTGGGGGCCAGGAATGTAGCTCAGCAGCTCCGCACTTGCCTAGCAAGCACAAGGTCCTGAGTACAATTCCTAGTACTGAAAAAAAGTCAGAATTCAGCTTTTATTGAAAAATGAGTAAGACTTCTGGTATGGGCATATAATTTGCATAACTAAATATTATTAACAGGAAGTGGAAAGAAGTTTAATAACGTGCTACAATTACTAAACTACATGTAACTTTTTTCCTTAGTTCAACTATATATCATAAGGATAAGTGGAAATTTAACTGACCTAAGAGACAATTTTGATGATGCTCTTCAAGTTAACACTACTGACCTGTTGCCAAAAGAGGCCAACTCCAAGGAAACCTTTACATTTAAACCTGGAAATATCCTGGAAGAAAATACAACTCACATATTCGTTGCCATTCAAAGTGTAGACAAAAACAATTTGACATCAAAGGTGTCCAACATTGCACAAGTGGCTTTGTTTAATGGTGAAACTGAATCTACTCCTACTCCTAATGAAAATTATTCTACTACTACTCCTAAAAGAAATCATAGTCCTGGAGTTAATGTGTTTGCCATGGTGTTGTCAGTGCTGGGGTCTGTTGTAGTTGTTACTATTGTTGTACCACTATTTGTATCTTAGACAAGAAAAAAAATCTCTAAGCAGACCTAGGGTAGGGTTTCAAAACACAAAGCAACAGAAGTAAAGGATATCTCTGAATTTTTAAATTCATCATCTGTGATCATGAATTTACAAAAATAATTTTAAGAAGCTTAGAAATAATATTTTGATTAAATAAAAACACCCATAGACTTGAGAAATACTGTCAATACTAATCTTTAATAATTTTATGTACTCATTATTTTATTTGCCATAGTGATGAATAAAGATTATTTTTCATATTCATACCTGGTTGTATATTATTTTCTGATGCAAAAGTTTTCTGAAATAATATTCAAATTTCATGAAGTTAACATTGTCTGAATATTCAAAATACAAGTGCAAAAGTACAAGTAAATAATATTTGGGGAAGTGAATTTAGTGTTGGATCTGTTAGTATTAATTAATGGTACTGTAGTCATTGAAAGTCTCTAACTATACCTTGTACTTGCTAAGGTCATTTTTACTCTAATTCATGGATATGAAAGATACTGGTAGAAAAAATCAGATGCTACTTATCAAACCATAGTTTATTCTGATTTCAATTAAATAGTAACATGTATCTCTCTCTTTTTCCCTGCAAGCCATACTTACCCTTAGACTTTTTCTTACACCATCGGAAAGAATGAGAGAAGCCATTATCTATTGCCTTCACTTTCAGAGACAGAAAACAAAATATATTCAAATCATATTTTAATACATCATTCACTGGCACAGCACTGGGACTGCAACCACATTAATGAGTGAGACAGTTAAGCAGAGAATGTAGGTTAGGAAGAGCGGTTATATTTATATGACATGACAGGTTATATTTATAAGCCTATCGTGGTCCAGGCTTACAATACAGTTTTCTTTTTCTTCCAGCTGTTGGTTTTTTCATGTTGCACAAGGACTTTCACTACCCTAAGTCAGCAACCAGAGGAACCAGAGAGGAACTAAAGAACAGCATCCTCTCATTTGTTTCCTTAGCTCATGTACATTTGGCAGGGATCATTTGTTGACTTGGAAGTAAACTAAAATGAAAATCATATAAACTGAGCTTAGGCATCATTTTAACAATCTATTAACACAGACTTTGTGGCCCTGGCTTAAGGAATTTGGTCTGATTAGCAGGGTTGAAAGAAAGGGCTTGTGGTTTCAATTGAAAGTGATGAGAGGTCAAGGGAAAATAAAATATATGACAGACTCCTGATTTTTTTATTGGTACTTTTTAAGTATACAGTAGAGTTACATTTATCATTGGGGTCTTGCACCTTTACATGACAGCTCTTGGTTCTCATTTTTCCCCTTATCTCTGCCCTCCCTTCAGCCCCTCCACCCTCCCCTATTTACAAAGACTTTGTCTCCATTTTTTCCTTTTCTCATATTTTTTCTTTTTCCTTATTTCCTTTCCCCTACCCTTCCCATTTCCCCTACACCTTTAGCCCTTTTCTCCTTTTTTACATTATCATTTATACAATTTGGATCTTCTTTACACTTTTAGTTTTTAACCCCAGAGAAATTATTCAATATTTACATATGTGTATTATTTATTTCACTTGAATGGAAGTGGCCTTAGGATGAGACAGTAACGGACTGAAGAAAGGAACTGGACCATCAGGAAAAATCTGATGAGCCTGCTTGCAGCACTGCAGTTGATCTTGGTGTTGGGTGTTGAATTTGGTTCCTGGGCCCATCCAGGAACGGGGGTGGGACTGTGAAGGGGATGCTCTAAAAGACAATAGAAGACTGTGGCCTCTGCATAGCTAACACCTCCGTGGGGTTGTTTCCACGTTTCCTGGGGTGGGCTAGGACCACTGTATTTCAACAAGGTCAGGATTCAGGAAAAGTCAGAGGTAGAGAAGAGAAGAGCAAGGATACCAGTGACATGCAGTCATTTCCCACTGTCTTTTAACACTCTGCCTTCAGACAGTTCTAGTTGTTACTTTATTTCTGTTTTCCAATGTCAAGAGTATTATTGTTTCAGTCAGCTCTGCCCCCAGAATCATATGGTTTCCGGGAGATGTAGTTCTAATCTGTTGAAGTTACTTCAGCACAGACAGTACAATCATGGAGGAGGGGACCTGTGACAGACTGTGAAATAGCAAGGAATTTCTTTATGTGGTAGTGAGTAGTCCTTGTTGTTGATCTAATATAAAAAAGGCAGGGCCGGGGATTTAGCTCAGTGGTTCGGTGGCCTGCCTTGCAAGCTCAAGGACCCGAGTTTGATCCCCGGTACCAAAAAATAAAAAAGGCAACAAACTAAAATCTGTGAGCTCCTATGACATAGTGGACACCCGTCTCACACAGGTGGCATTGACTATAGAACTTCTGCTCCATCCCCATGTGGAGGGTTGGAGCCATGTGGCAGGTATTTGGCCTCATTCCTACAGTCAGTGCTTAATTAATGGAAGCTCTCATGGTAAGAACTTTTGTTATAATATCTCTGAAGGTCAGGGATGGTAACAATGAGGCCCACCAATAGATAATCTGAAATAGGAAAACAGATCCAAAGGGATGGGGAAGTAGGAAGGGTGGGGGAAAGGAAAAAGGGGAAGGAGTAAATATGAGAAAAGGGAGAAATGAAATGAAGTCTTTGTAAATAGAGAGGGGTGGAGAAGTTGCAGGGAGGGCAGGGGATTGGAGAAAAAAATAAGAACCAAGATATACCATGTAAAGGTACAAATTCCTAATGATGAACGCCATTCTATTGTATACCTAAAACGCACCAATAAATTTTACGAATAAAAACAAACAAAAAAACAATGGCCAATGGATTATATAAAAATGTATAATATCACCAACCATCAGGGAAATGCAAGTTAAAAACAAGAACATTATCACTTCACACCTACCAAAATAGCTAGCATTATAAAAATAAACAATGACATATTTTGCCAAAGATGTGAAGAAAGGGTAACCTCGGCATACTGTTGGTGGGGATATAAAATAGCACCACAATGGAAACAATTTAGAGTTCCTCAAAAAATCAGAATTAAGACTACCATATTGCAGTAGTTTGGATATGAATATCCCCCAAATGTCTATGTGTTAAAAGACTTGGTCACCAGCCTGTGTCACTATCTGGAAGTGACGACATCTTTAAGAGCCGGGAGTACTAGGAGAGGAAGTTACATCATTGTCCTTGAAGCAGACAATGGGTCCACAGCCCCTTTCCCTCCCTCTCTTTGCTTCCCAGACACCATAAGGCAGACAGGCGTTCTCTACCAGGGTCTCACACTATGATGTACTCTATCACCACAGGACCCAGGCTACAGGACCAAGCAGCCAAGGATTGAAATCACTGAAACCATGAGCCAAAATGAAGCTTTCCTCCTCATACATCATTTACTTCAGTGACGGTCTGTCTCATGGACAGAAAGACAAATAATACAAGTGTCATCAAGTAATCCCACTACTTGCTATATATCCAAAGGAAAAAAAGCCAATACGCTGAGGAGATGTCAGCATTCCAGTGTTCACTACAGCATTATTTACAACAACCTAGTGTACATCAATAGAAGAATGGGTAAGGAAAATGTGATATACGATGCAATGCTACTCAGCCTTTAAAAGAGAAGGAAATCCTGTCATTTGCAGCACATGGATGAACCTAGAGAACATTACCGTAGGTAAAATAAGCCAGGCACAAAAGATTTAACTGAAGCCAAAAATAAAATGTGATCTTTTTTGTCTGAATGAAAGAGAGAGGGAGAGAGAGAGAAAGAGGGAGGAAAGGACAGAGAGAGAGAGAGAGAGAGAGAAGGGAAAAGAAAGACAGAGACGGGGGGGAGAAAGAAAGGACTCAGAAAGTCAAATATCACAATTTCACTTATATGTAGAATCTAAAACATGAGAGTAGGATGGTGGTTACCAAGATCCAGAAAATTGGGAAGATACTGGTCAGAGGACACAAAAGTTAATAAGACAGAAGGAATAAGTTCAAGAGATCTATTGTACATCATGTTAACTACAGTTTATAACCCTATATTATATAACTGAAAATTGCTAAGAAAATGTAATTTCAGTTTTCTACCCACAAAAAGATAAATATATGAAGAAATATATGTTTATTGTCTTAAACTAGCCAGCCTTTTTATTATATGTATATATCTTACTGTTATAAATATATATAATTTTAAATTATAAATAAAAACATTATATACCAAAAGTATACCAATAAAATTGATTTTTAAAAACAAAATAAAGTTAGAAACTTGAAAAAAGCATTTTTTCTAAAGGAACATACAGTTTTAGTCTTCTAGCCAAATGATAGTAATCGAAGCATAATATATAATTAGAATATTTAATAAAATAATATACAATATATAATTAGAAGTTTAAAAGTTCTCTTTAGTTTCATTCAATGACATACCTTTCATGAGACTCATCAAATTCCTAGGCTAATAAAATCTTTCCTTGTCCACACAATGCCCTTCCATTTACATTCAGATTCCTTAGAAGCTCTTAGCTTTTGCCCTCCACAGGGTATCCTCACTGTTGGAATAAATTGTAGTTAGTACCCATCAAGATCCCACTTTCTCAAAATCAACAATACAGGGAAAACAGCTGAAAACTAAAGGTACCATGTATTCCAGATACCAAATTTAAAATTTTCCAGCTGTATCTCCTTACCGCAAGCCAAAGCTACACTTACTACCACCCACAAATCTCAGACCCAGCACTTTGGGAGGCTGAGATAGGAGGATTACATGTATGAGCCCAGCCCACACAACTAAGTGACTTAAGGATATCTTGTCTCAAAGAAAAAGCAAAAGAAAATTCTGAGGATATAGCTTATTACAAAGGTCCTGGGTTCAATCCCCAGTACCACACACATGCACACACAAAAGAGGACCAGGACACAAAATGTGTTTTTCTGGAGAAGTGCCCTGTGATGAAATAGCAGTCCTTAATAAAGATTAAATCTCAGAAGGGCACATAAGTGACAACAATCCTCTCATATAAATATTGCTAGACCACAGGATGGACAGTTTTTTATGGTGCTGAGTCTTAAAAAATGGACAGAAAAGAGAAGGTGGGGAAGAGAGGTATGCCCACTGGACCACCTTCACACATTTGATACACCAGGAAGTAGAGAGTTTCTTGTTGATAGAGTAGACGTGGAGAAGGTGGCTGACTTTAGTCTACTTGAGATCTCCCATGACAAGGGGTTGTGCAACAAGAAGAGCCCAGTAACACACACCAGAGCCAGAGAGAACCAGTTTGGGGGCAGCTACTACTCCTCTAAGAAATGTCTAAAGTCATACCACAGGACAGGCTCATTAGGAGAAATTGGCTTCTTTATCTCCAAAACTTAAACAGAACACCCACAGGGAAAGAGAGAAGAAAAATCCTAGCGCTCTGAAAGGCTGAGGTACAAATACTGAGTTCCAGCCCAAACTGTGCAACATAGTGAAGTAGCAAAACCCTGTCTCAAAACACAAAAAAAGTAAAATAAAGACTGGGAGTATAGCTTAGTGTGAATGCCCTGGGTTCAATCCCTAGTACAATAAAATAATAATAATAAATAATAATAATAATAAATAGAAGCAATTTAAAAAGATAGATTATACATTCTCTTTTCCAAGTTCAGGCTCTAAAGACATAAATCTGCCCTGATTTTTAAGAAAAGAAAGAGAACTTCAGCTCAGATAAAAGACCAAAGTTTTTAAAAGAACAGGTCTGGGTCTTGATTATCAAATCAAGACAATTTGAGTACCCAAAAGTGACAATAGTAATGGAATTGGCTGATACAAATACAGAGACACTCCTATCCTCTCACTTCCTTTCCCTCCGTATCATCCTCCACCAACTCCTGGCAATTCTTAATGTCTTTAAAAGCTCTCAACTTGTCTCTCCCTTAGTCCATGCCCTCAGCATCTGCTGTGTGTTTTCCCCTCAAAATCCTTCACGAGAAAGAGCCATTGTGAGCCTTTGTGCAGTTCATGCCAGTGCCCTGCCTGAAAGCACCAGGGTCAAGGAGTGACGGCTGAAAGGCAGTCCCACTCAGCCGCAAGTATCAAGGTAAAGGGAATTGTCTCATCACTTATGTATCCAGAGGGGCACACTGTTCTGATTTACAAGTTATTCTGATTCACACAAAAGTTCATGTGTGCAAACCAAGCCTGTTTCCAACAACTATTCGCCTTCAAGCCAAGTCATTTTCAAGTGTGAAGCTGAGCCTGTCACTCTCCACTTTCTGAACCCCCAGAATGACTCCCCTTTGCAGTGAGTGAGGCTCCTGCCCTTTGATGTCACTGATAATGCCTTTTAAGTCCTTGTTTCTGCTCCTCTCCAGACTCAGGTCTCAAAACTCCTCCTGTTATTGCTGATAAGTAAGTTTATCTTGTAGGCAGTTAGACAGGGCCTCTCTCAAGGAGCCAACACAGAAAGGAGCCAATATGGAGGACAATAAAGACACATTCACTGTGGCCAGAATTGTAAAAGGAAACTACTATACCCTTGTGCTTCCCTTAGGGACAAATAGCAGTAATTGATATTTTAAATAGGTATTAATGGGGGGGGCAGTCTTAGCCCCGCCTTTCCAGGAAATATCCCTGAACCCCACCCTTACTGAAAATGCTTGTACACCTGCTATGTGACTTGCTCCTCCCTTGACCCCCATTTAATTAATATTACCTGGGTGACTGTACTTGCAATCTTATTGGTTGGTCATGGTTTTGCTCCACCTCATGCCCACCTTGTAATTTTCCACTGGGTCTTATAGTTTTGTCCCACTTTGTACCTGCCTCACCACATGGCTTTGCTCTATAAAACATCTTTGAAAAGTGGGGGGAGTGGGCAACCCACTTTCCGGTCCCCCTTCTGTCTCTCTTAGACAGAAGCTTTCTTTCCCTCAATAAATTCTTCCTACTCTTAACCTCCGTTGTCCCTAGAATGCATTCTTCGATTTTGGAAAACATGAACTCGCGTTTCGGATATCTAGCAGGTTTGGGAGTTACGGTCTCTTCCCCCTATATCACCGTCACATAGGAGACTCCATTTTCCCGGGAGCACCTCTAGTTCCTCTAGCCTCGTCTAATTCTTACCCGTGAGGTTCACTTTAACCCTCTGTATCATAATCGTCATTTGCTTGTCCTTATTTCCCTCCACATGATGAGATTCTCAAATGCAGAAGACTATATTTATCTGGATGTCCCCAATGCCATGATCTTGCTCGGTGAAGAAATATGTTTTAAATGAGAGCATGAAGACTGTGTTCTCTCAAGTGGTAATTAGTCTGGGGGCTGACAAAAGGAACCAACCCAAAAGGAAGCAGCAACTACCTGACAATCACAGCATGAATCGCAGAAAGGAGCTAATGCATTTCCAGGCAGAAATGCTGAGTCACACCACCCAAACCGAAGAAAAGGATTTTGAACTACATCCGCATTGTACTACAATGACAAACTTTGCTCTAACAGCTTCTAACAGCTCCTCTTCATTAATGTGCAAACTAGCCTGTGTTAAACAAAGCTAAGGGAGCTTATAACAGGAACACGGTTTGCTGCACGAAGACCCCGCAGACAGGTCAAGCCAAAATGGAGTCACTACATTAAGTGAAGTGGGTAAACCCCCAAACAGACCAGTCTTGCTAGATTTGCAGCAATCCATCAGGAAGAACATGATCGATAAAGGAGTCTCCTCTGCTTTAACCCTCACAAGAAAAATGGCCAATCTGATAATTATTGTTCTGCTTCCTTGACCCAACCTTACAAAAAGCAATCACTCTCTGGTGTTTGGAGGAATACTCATCTTATTTTATAGAACAAGGTGTTGCCTGATTTCAGAATCACAAATAAAAGTCAATTCGATTTTCAGATTATTTTTTTCTTTTTCTTTTTTTGTAATTTTGTATTCTGACACCTTCAACCCTTATTTAGACTAATTAAAATTATAAATGAAGTTTCTTCTTATTAATTTATTCCCACAATCCCATTTATCTTGGTGCTGTTTCATCTGCCCAGGACTGATGCTTAGTACTTGAACTCAATTTCAAAGATGTGAAGTTCAGACTCACTCAAAAGAAGCTTGAAGCTTGTTTTGCACCTGAGAAAACCTTCTCTACTGCTCTGAAACAGGTGCCACTTATCCTGCATTTTTAAAGAGCAGCACTATTCTTCCCAGCTGCCTGAACTAGTAAAATTGCATGTTAGAATGTTTATTATCTGTCTTCCCTTATTGTAATACAAAGACTGATGAGAAAAGTTACCTGTCTGCTTTATCAAAAAAACTTTGGCCTGGCACAGAGTAAATTCTGAATAAATAGATGTTGAATGCATGATGAGATGAAGAATGAACTGGTTATTTCATGGATGTTCACCTACATGGTGGCATTTATGTCAGATAAAATCTTGTTTATGTCAAGTAAAAAAGCCAAAAACCAAAACCAGACCAGAACCACTACACACCTTTATTGTAGGGACAATTCGCTGGGCTGTCTCCAAACAGAGGAGAGAGAGCAAGATGGCCAAGACAGGGAGCCCTTCTTATAGGACTAGGGTGGGATTTATAGGAGCTGGGGTGGGATTAAGTGATGTAGTGGCTAGGGATTGGGGGAGCTTGTGACATCACTAGAAGGGGCTTGTGTCATCACTAGTTGCCAGGAGGTAGTGAGTATCAGGTTACT